CGCGACCTAGAGACGACGATGCAATAGCTGATCACATTCCCACAGCCGCCACCAACATCTATCATGACCCGGAGACACCGTCTTCTCAGTACTTATGGAGCAAGAGGCCTATGGGGAGGGACGCAGCTAAAAGAGAAGCTAAGAAATCAGCCTCTTCCTCCCTGTCAGATTCATCTCAGTATGTTTCAAAGTTGTAGGACCTATCGATACAAAATATTTCAATATGGCAAGAAGAAAATGCGAAGAAAGGCTCTCGCTATGAGCAAATGGCAGCCATCGAGTCACAGAGGTACGATGAGGTTCGCCAACACAATCAGCACATGGCAGCAATTGAGGAAGAGAAACTACGGATCATGTGTAACAAAGCTGACATACTACAAACACACGAGGAAGAGCGCATCCTCGGGATTGATCTGGACAAGTGTGCTCCGCGCCTCCGCAAGTACTATGAAAAGAAACAACAAGAGATACTGAAGAACATTGGTGCCGACGTAGACGACAGTGTAGACCCTTAAACTAGTGTTGTAATGTGTTGCATTGAGGATTGTCCTAGTTGAGGCTACCTTGCAGTGGCTGTGTTGTACTACTAATTATGGTCTGGTATGGAGTAGCAGGAACCCCAACATTATCGTAGTCCGTGTTCTCCGCAAGTTTCCCTTCATCCTCGATAATCATATTATGCATAAGTATGCACGCTGTCATAATGTCCCTAATCGGTTCACGATTCCAACTAGATGCAGGGCCTCGAACAATAGCCCACCTAGACTGAAGGACACCAAAAGTGCGCTCAGTATCTTTACGAACTTTTTCCTACTCCTTAGCAAAGTGTGCTGCCTTCATATCCAGGGGATGGGAAACGGTCTTCACAAAAGCCAGCCAATTGGGGTATATACCATCAGCAAGATAATAACCCATGTCATACGTGTGACCATTAACGGTGAATGATACCGGAGCTGCTTGGCCTTTCAAATATGTGGGACGTGTGACTTTTGAAGGACATTAATATCATTGTAGCTGCCTAGCATGCCGAAATAGGCATGCCATATCCAAAGGTCTTGCGAAGCTACAACCTCAAGTATCATGGATGGATGCTTCCCATGCCCTGTGAACATGCCTTTATATGCCAAGGGGCAATTGCGCCACTCCTAGTGCATACATTCAATGCTTCCCAACATTCCCGGAAATCCACGTTGCTCTCCAATTCTGAGAAGCCGTGCTACATTTTCTGCATTCGGAGCACGTAGGTAGTACTCCCCGAATACAGAAATGATAGGCCAACAAAAATGGTGGAGAGCCTTACGAGCAGTTGACTCACCAATACAGACATACTCATCTACAGCATCAGCAGGTAGACCATATGCAAGAATGTGAATAGCAGCAACTGCCTTTTGCAAACCACTGAGCCTAAGACGGCCAATGGCATCCTCCTTTTGCTTGAAGTAGGAGTCTGCACCTTCAATCGCTTCGACAAGGCGCTCAAACACATGGACGCGCATTCGAAACCTGCACACAAAGATAAGGTCTGTCAATGTACTGCAAAGTAACACATGAAGCAATCCATGACTTCCAGATTATAGAAACACACCGTCGACGGAACTGGAACGCCGAGTAAACAGGATTGGGACCAAAGTAATCAGCACGGATCCTCGCATCCCCGACCGCATGATCCCTCTGTCGTATCTGCTTTGGTGGACCATCGGAACGACGTCTACGATGAGAGGGTCTAGCATTCTTGAGCTCGAATGACTCTAGTACATCCAAGTCGTCGTCGTCAACAATCAAATGAAAATCATCTTCGTCCTCCTCTTCCTCTATTACCCATGTTCTACACATGGCAGAACCAAAGCAGCCTGCCATGGCCATGGAGGGAACAGGCGACGGGGGTGGACAGAACAGGACCTCGATGGAGTGGAGGGAACAGGCGACGAACCCTAACAACCAGCCATGCTGAGATCAAATCCGGCTATTTGGGCTGCCAGATGGGGCATATGATAGCTCAAATGGATGCTTCTAGGCCATGGCCACTTGTAGCTACAAGGAATCGATGAGGAGCTCACCGGACAGGAAGGAGACGGCGGCGCAGTCCACGCTCGGTGGCGGCAGCGACAGGTTCGTTTGTTCGTTGAGTTGGGGATCGAAATATAGGCACCTGGTGGCAGCGTTCCAAGGTGAGCGACCTGTACAGGTCGATGGGCCGTGTGGGTCATGCCCTGTTTACAGGCTGCTTTAGCGGAGGAGCGGTGCGCTTAGCCTAAGCGGAGAGACTTCCGCGTGCAGGACCTGGGCGGCCGGTCAAAGAATTAGGGATTGATCTTGTAAAAAAAAGATAAGGGGTTGGGAGTGAGGGGGTATTTTGGACATTTTTCTTGGTCGGGCTCACATGTGGCCCTGTTTGGAACACGAGAAGTTTTTTCTATTCCTGTGTTTTTCTCTTAAAAAAATGAACATTCGACACCTTTGTACATTAAAAGAGTTGTGAAGCAGCTCACGAATACATTTAAATAACACACCACCTAGTGCCAGATCTCTCGACATCTATGTGATCGCCTCCCGCAACTGACTTGAATCAGTCTCCAGTTCAATCCTTGAAATACCATGCCTCTCTGCCGATTCCAAAGCAAATAAACATGCTACTGTTTCCGTCGCCAATGCATCCAGCGCCCTGTTCGTTTGGGTTTGTTGGGCTTATAAGCCATACTTTTTCAGCCAACGAACAATATTTTTTTTCTCTCACACCAAATCAGCCAACAATACTTTCAGCCATGGCTTATCAGTCAAACAAGCCCAAACGAACAGGGTGAGCTGGAGAAATATTTGCCGCTGCTGCTAACACCGGCTCCCCTTGATGATTCTGGATGATAAAGCCACAGGCACCAGTGTTACACTCCTTCCGAACGCTCCATCAATATTGGTCATGTTCGCTTATCTTGTAATCCGTCATTTTCAGCTTTTTTTTTCAGTCAGAACCGTGTTTTTCTCTCACAACAAATCTGCCGGAATAGTGTTTCGGCTTATTTTTTCAGCGAAGCGAACGGGGCCATTGATCTTCAGCATCTCCGGCTTCGGTGGTGTCCATACATTGTGAAACCTGACCAAATTAACCGGTGGTGCGTTGTCGCTCTGAATGTCACTGAGCATCGAGTAAACGGCACATACCACATCAGAGCTTGTCAGGGTGGATTCACCAGCGTTGTCTTTGTTACGAGCATCCCATAATTTCCATAGCAACACCACAGTCCGTAGGCATTGCTCCGACTTGAGACCCAGAATAGCAGCAACGAATTGTTCAGATAACTGAATGTCCAACAGCATATCTCTAACATTTTCCAGCTGCAGCTCTCTCCAGCAATGCCGAGCCCTCTTGCATTTCAGGAAACAGTGAGCCCCATCCTCATCAAAGCGTTTACAGACCGGACAAGCCGTATCCAGTTTTATATTGCGCCGCTTAATATTGAGCTTCATAGCAAGACTATTATGTAACATGCTGATTATTCTAACATGTTGGTCCTAAATAGCCCAAGATTATTGTAACATGCTGATTATATTATACTAACATGCTGATTATTATAAACGAACATGGACCCCTTCCCATTGCGAAAGTGTGTTGCTGCAAGCCGCGCACCGGCCATGCGTCGCGATGCTCTATCAGGTGTTGAGCCTGATTCCAGATGACTGGCCTCGTTCACTTCACTGAAAAGTACTAGTACTGTTCGTTAATTTGCTGTGAGACAAAAATACTATACCATATCTGATAAGCCAGTCTGATAAGTTGCACGAGGATATAATAAACTTAGCTTCCATCATCTTACAGGCGTCGCTCCTAGTGAGTTCAACAGATTTGTCTTGATAACAGAGATGAACCAAAAATCCGCATGGGTTTAAAAGCATGCTCACCAAAGCAATGGATCATGAGCCAGTCCAACTGAGCACTGATGCTAATTGATTCATTTAAAAAGAAGGGTAAAATCCAATTTACAACCTTTAACTCTCGCCAAAGTCCGGATTTCAACCTCAAACTCCAAAACCGAATAACTTTGGCTCTCGAACTCTTGAAACCGTTCACTTTTCAACCCTGGGCTGGTTTTAGGCTGTTTTGGCAGATGAACAGTAACTTTTGATATTTTTGAGAGACGTCGAAATTTTATATTATTTTTTTGAGCATCTTAACGTCCTCAAATGAAAAAAATTCAAAACTACAAAATTATAGATCTCATTGAGAGGTATAAAAAGTATTTTCATTTAACTCCATACAAATAATATATTAGTGCTCTAATGATGAAGATAATTTTATATGTAATTTGTATTATGGTCTTTGAAATTTTATAGTTTTTTTTTTTTTTTTCTTCTTGTCCTCAAATGAAAAAAAATAAAATTATAAATTTGTAGATCTCATCGAGTCTACAATTTACATATAAAATTATTTTCATCCATCCGACATCACTATTGAAGGGTTTATTCTAGTTTTTTGAAATTTGAGTTCATACCAAAGTTTGTTGTTTCAACGAGATCTACAACTTTGTAGAAGTTTTGAGTTTTTTCATTCGAGGACGCTAAGATACTCAAAAAAAATAATATATAAAATTTTCTCACAAAAAATATCAAAAGTTACTGTTCATCTGCCAAAACCGCCCGAAACCGGTCCAGGGTTGAAAAGTGAACGGTTTCAAGAGTTCGAGGGCCAAAGTTATCCGGTTTTCGAGTTCAGGTTGAAATCCGCACTTTGGCGGGTCGTAAATTGGACTTTACTTAAAAAAAAAATGATTCATTTCCTTGGTCACCGCTGACACCTCACGCGAAGACGGGCCTTGCAAAATTTGTCAGGGGGTTCTAGAGACTGCCCCAGGCGACACGACTCGCGTTTCTCAAAAAAAGGCGACACGACTCGCTCGCCATCTGGCAGCTTCTTCCAAATCTGAAATGCCAGTTCCAGCCCTCCCATAGCGATCGAACGCCGCTCCGGAAAAATCCCCTCAAAAACAAGGGGAAAAATAACACACAACATGAACTGCTTGAAGAACTCGCGCTCCATCCTCTCGCGACTCCTCCGCCACAGGTCCCACGTAGCCGCGGCGCCGACGCCGACGCCGGCGCCGGTGCCGGCTGCGCAGTCACCGGCCTCGCGGTACTACTACGCCTCCCGCGTCCTCCGCAACAAGCCAGCCGTCTCCCGACCGGCTCCGCCGCCGCAGTTGCCGAGACCTAGGCACTACTACACATCCCCGCGGCGGCAGGAGGTCATCCACTTCGACCGCCGCCGCGGCGGGTCCCGGTGGTACCACGACCAGCGGAAGCTCACGGCGGCGGTCCTCATCACCGGCGGCGGGGCGGTTGCGTTCTACTTCGGCCATTTGGAGACCGTGCCCTACACCAACCGCTCCCACCTCGTCGTCCTCTCGCCGAGGCTCGAGCGCCAGCTCGGCGAGACCCAGTTCGCTGAGCTCAAGAAGGAGTTCGGCCCCAAGATCCTGCCCCCGCTCCACCCCGACAGCATCCGCGTCCGCCTCATCGCCTCGGAGATCGTCCGCGCCGTCCACCGTGGCCTCTCCGGCCACCAGCGTCACGCCGCCGCCTACGGAGAGGACGCCTCGTATGGGTATGGCGGCATCGCCGACGACCTCGCCATCAAGAACCTCGACGCCGACGCTACTGCAGCGATGCTTGGTGCTTCCCCGGACAAGAACGCGAGCGCGGCCGTGGCCGCTCAGCGAGACGACGAGGTTCTGGATGACAGGTGGGTGACCGAGAGCCGGAGCCGTGGTAAGGCACGCGGGGCGCAGCCGCAGACGGGTCACCTGGACGGGCTTAATTGGGAGGTGATCGTTGTCAAAGATGACATCGTCAATGCATTTTGCCTGCCCGGTGGCAAGATTGTAGTCTTCACTGGATTGCTTAACAAATTCAGGGCCGATGGTGAGGTTGCCACTGTGCTTGGGCATGAGGTGCGGTCCTTCGTCTGCAGGTTAATGTGTGGATTTGGGTGATTGCAGAGGATTAGAACTAACTTTGTGGCCATTTTTTGTAGGTTGGGCATGCTATTGCAAGGCATGCCGCTGAGCAGATCACTAAGAACCTCTGGGTGGCAATCCTGCAGATTGTCATCCTGCAGTTTATCTACATGCCAGACTTGATAAATACGGTGTCAACACTCCTCCTCAGGCTACCCTTCTCACGAAGGTATGACTTCTGCATTTCATGTTGCTCGTTGATGCATTCTGGATGTGATAAGCTTCATGTGTTACGAAATGAGGCACACGTAATATTCAAAATAAAAAGCAAGTAAAATGCAAAATTGAGCTTTATAAGTAGACCTCAGTGTTGCTATGTGCCATGCATTGGGTCAGCTTCCTTGAAGTAGACACACAACAAACTAGCAGGGCCATCTTAATACGTCAGCTCATTGTATGGTTGTATCACAGGTCGATGAACATATAGGCAAAGGTATCAAAACTTAACAGGTCCTCTTATTGTTACTGATACCAGTTGTGTAGGTGCATTAGACATGACAGCTTCTTTGAACTTTGAAGATGTCTGTAAATTGCAATTCATGTTTTTTAGGTTATTCTGCCCTTTTATGGATAGGCAGTGGACATAACAAATTAAGTTAGTCAGATGATTTTTCCAGGATCCAGCACATACTACATACATTTCCATAAACTGTCACTCTTGATATTATTATGACTCCTTGTGATTGGCACTATTAGAAATGAGGTCTTAACTGCTAGTTATTGCCCCAATAGGCCAACAGGGACATTGGAGAGAGACCCGCGTCTAAGTTTCACACTTTTGTTCTCTTGGCAATTGTTTTTTTCACACAAATCTTCAAACGAGATTCTTCCCTTTTTGCTTTGGGAGATCCAATAAGCTTGGAAGTAGCATATGGCGGCCTATCTGTCGGTGTTTCGAACAAACACCAACTAGTAAATTTATAATTGTTGCGCGTTAGGCTCGGATGGTGTACTAAAGGACACAAGTTTTATACTGGTTCGGGCAGAATGTCCCTACGTCTAGTTTGCTGCTACTTGTGTTATTAGTACCGAAAAATGTTCGTAGTAGGGGGTACAAACGGTCGAGAGAGGGACAGGTTCCAAGTCTCTGATGGAAAGGTCGAAAGGATGCTAAGAGCTTGATTGCTGCTTGGTTGTGTGTTGTGTGTGGAATCGATTCATCGTCCCTAGTGGGGTGCCCTGTCCCCCCCCCTTTATAGACCAAGAGGGAGCAGGGATTACAGATGGGAGAAAGAGGAAAAAACCAAAGGTAGAGAAGATCCTTCGAGGGTGCCGGGTCTTCCTTTTCCTTTGAGCCTGCCCTGCTGACATGGCAGACCATGCCAGGGATAGCATGTTTCGTTGATCCTGATAGGGCCGGGCTCTGGCTTCGTCTTAGCGAGTGGTCATGTCCCATCCTCCCCCGGCGGACGGTGCGGTGTGTCAGGGCGCCGAGCCATGACTCTGCAGGGAGTAGACGGGGAAATGACTATACGTCTGTTACTGTAGATGATGTGAGTTCCTCCTTGGATTGTAGTGGTTGTCGTATGCCTGTGTTATTATTCACGCCCGAGGGCTGATGGCGGCGCCTACAACACTGTAGGACAAAAGTCGACGTCTACAACACTGTTCGGGCTCTGTTAGGTCGGAAAGGGCTTAAAGCGCCCGTCCCATCGTATCCTGACGGTACCTTCCTGCAGGCGTGCAGGGCATTGTCCTCGGTACCGCGGTTGACTCGAATGTCCTGTCGTACCCTGTGCTCGTCATCATGAAGGAGCAGGGTGCAGTCGTCGGGCGAGGCGGAGCCCGCCCTCGGATGACGAGCGGGGCGGAGCCAGCCCTCAGCCGTCGGGCGAGGCGGAGCCAGCCCCCAGCCGTCGAGCGAGGCGGAGTCTAGCCCTCGGGGGTCGGGCGTGGCAGAACCAAGCTTCCGTCGTTCGGGCAAGAAGCGTAGTAGCGTTCTTGTCTGACCGGAAGCGTCAACGTTCAATGGTTATTAGTTCCACCTCATTGGGTACCCCAGTATTAGGTCCCCGACAGTAGCCCCCGAGCCCTCGGGTGATTCGGATAGAATCGCCCGAGGGGTATTTTGACTTGCCAGAGGGTGGGCGCGAGCGCACCCGACGGGTGTAGCCCCCGAGCCTCTGGGGGATTTGGATAAAATCGCCCGGGCGGTAATTTTGGACCCTTCGCGGGTATGGTGTGAGATTTGGTTTTTGTCAACTGGACAGTTCAAAGGGAACCCTAGTATCCCGTTCGCGGGGATTCACCCAGGGTTAGCCCGGTTGAGATTTGTTTGCGGATCGAGACTCCTTTGAGGTTCGTGCGCCTGAGTCTTGGCCGTTCGCGGGCCCATCCCTCGTTGGGACGACCGTCGAGACTGTTGGGCTGGCCCTTGGACTCCTGGGCCCAGGCGGGCTGGAGAAAAGCTTTTTGACCCGGAGGAGGGCGATGTCGCGAGCTTCGTCTAGCTGGTCCATGGCGTCTTCGTGGGATGCCTCGGCTCCCTTTTTGTCGTATGCTCTGATTCTAGGCGCTCCATAGTCGAGGTCGGTTGGGAGGACGGCCTCGGAACCGTAGACCATGAAGAAAGGCGTGTAGCCGGTGGTCCGGCTGGGAGTTGCCCTCAGGCTTCAGAGCACCGCAGGGAGTTTGGCGACCCAGCGTGCGCCGAACTTGTTCAACCGGCTGAAGATCCTGGGTTTGAGGCTCTGTAGGAGCATGCCGTTTGCGCGCTCGACCTGCCCGTTCATTCGGGGGTGCGCGACGGCGGCCCAATCGACCCGGATGTGTTGTTCATCGCAGAATCGAAGGAATTTCCTGCTGGTAAACTATGTGCCGTTGTCCGTGATGATGGAGTTCGGTACTCTAAAGCGATGGATGATGTCGAGGAAGAACAACATGCCTTGCTCGGATTTGATCAAGAAGATCGGTCGAGCTTTGATCTATTTTGTGAACTTGTCTATGGGACAAGCAAGTGGGTGTAGCCCTCGGACGCCTTCTTGAGAGGCCCAACCAGATCGAGCCCCCAGACCGCGAAGGGCCACGTGATGGGGATCATCTGGAGTGCCTGGCCAGGAGGTGAGTTTGTCGAGCGTAGTACTGGCACCTTTCACAGGTGCGTACGATCTGCTCAACGTCGGCTACTAGCAGTGGGACAGTAGAAGCCCTATCGGAATACGTTTCCAACCAAGGTTCTAGGCGCGGCGTGGTGACCGCAGACCCCACTGTGTATATCGCTCAGCAGAAGCTTCCCCTGTTCGACGGGGATACAGAGCTGCAGGATCCCGGTGTGGCCTCGTTTGTAGAGTTCGCCCTCTACAAGAACGAAGGACTTGGCACGACGTGCGAGCCGTCGAGCTTCCGTCTTGTCCGTCGGCAGCGTGTCACGGAGGAGGTAGTCCAAGTAGAGTGTTCTCCAGTCGTCCAGAGGGTCGGGCTCTGTCGTTGGATCCTCCTCAAGCTCCATGACCTCGGGGCCGGACGGAGCCGTCGGTTGGTTAGCCCCCGGGGCTGGATCGGACGGACCGTCGTCGGCCCGTTCCGACCCTTCGTAGCGTACCGAGGGCTTGTCTTGGTCGCTGGCGAAGACACTCGTTGGCACCGGCTCTCGACCGGACGCCGCTTTTGCAAGCGCGTCGGCCGCTTCGTTGAGGCGCCTTGGGATGTGATTGAGTTTGAGGCCGTCGAATTTGTCCTCTAGCCGTCGGACTTCTTGGCAGTACGCAGCCATCTTGGCGTCGTGGCAGCTCGACTCCTTCATGACTTGGTTGACGACCAGCTGAGAGTCGCCCCTGATGTCGAGGTGTCAGATGCCCAACTCGATGGCGATGCGTAGGCCGTTGATGAGTGCTTCATACTCGGCCACATTATTTGATGAGGGAAAATAGAGACGAACCATGTACCTCATGCGGACCCCGAGGGGTGATACGAAGACTAGCCCCGCGCCGGTGCCCTTTTTCATCAGCGATCCGTCGTAGTACATCGTCCAGTACTCTTGATCGACGACCTCCGGTGGTGTTTGGACCTCGGTCCATTCCGCGATGAAGTCAGCCAGCACCTGTGGCTTGATAGCCGTTCGGGAGGCATAAATGATGCCTTGATCCATCCACTCGAGTGCCCACTTCGCGGTTCTTCCCGTAACGTCCTGGCTCTGGACGACCTCGCCGAGGGGGAACGACGTCACGACCGTCACGGGGTGTGATTCGAAGTAGTGGCGTAGCTTTCTCTTGGTGATGAGGACAGTGTATAGGAGCTTCTGGATTTGGGAGTAGCGGGTCTTGGAGTCGGATAATACCTCGCTGATGAAGTACACAGGTGCGCACCTTGAGGGCGTGCCCCTCTTCCTCCCGTTCTACTACCAGGGCGGCGCTGACCACTTGCGTGGTGGCCGCTATGTATAGCAGGAGGGATTCTCCATCGTTTGGACTTGACTACAATGTCGTCAACGTAGGCCTCAACGGTCCGCCCGATAAGGTCCTCGAAGCATCTGAGTATACAGCGCTGGTACGTAGCCCCAGCGTTCTTCAATCTGAACAGCATTGAAACGTAGCAGAACGATCCGAAGGGGGTGATGAAAGACGTCGCGAGCTGGTCGGACTCTTTCATCGCGATTTGATGTTAGCCGGAGTATACATCAAGGAAGCAGAGGGTTTCGCACCTCGAGGTAGGGTTGACTATTTGGTCTATGCGTGGCAACGGAAATGGATCCTTTGGGCACGCTTTGTTGAGACCCGTATAGTCAACACACATCCTCCATTTCCCGCTCTTCTTTCGCACAAGAACGGGATTAGCTAACCACTCTGGGTGGTATACTTTCCTGATGAATCCGGCCGCCGATAGTTTTGCTATCTCTTCACCGATGGCCCTGCGCTTCTCCTCGTCGAAGCGACGCAGGCGTTGCTTCACCGGCTTGGAGCCTGGATGGATCTTCAAGGTATGCTCGACGACCTCCCTCGGAATGCCTGGCATATCCGAGGATTTCCACGCAAAGATGTCTTTGTTGACGCGGAGGAAGTCGACGAGCGCGCTTTCCTATTCGGAGGAAAGTGGTACCAATGCGTACCGTTTTACCCTCGGAGCTGCTGGGATCTATGAGGACTTCCTTGAAGCCCTCTGTCGATTCGAACGACCCGGTTGATTTCTTCGCGTCGGGCGCTTCTTCAGAGACCCCCTCCTTGAGGGTCGCGA